AGCCACTAGCTAGGAGGCTCGCATTTGGTCGTTGTTGGGATAGATAGTATGTGCCTTGGAGAGAAATTTGCCTTTGGGAAAACAAATTCTTCCCGCTGTTGAAATTTCGCGGTTTTTCTCGTTCACATTTGCCGTATACCCCGGACCAGTTGGTGGCGCCCTCAGAGTTTTATACAGCTAATATTTCCGATATTTAGTTGAAAAAATAGTTGGATGTTGACGACAGACGACCTTCCCCTCCCCATTCAACGGGAAATTGTTGGGGAAAAAGTAGCAAACTTTCGTAAGGCTGTTAGGAAGCTGGTTATGTAGGAAAGTGATGGGTAGGTGTTGGGAAGGGGGTGGGGAGGTCGTGCCGAGACCCTGTTTCGGGTAGGGGGTCGTATTGACACCGCCATTTCCCTCACCCTGTACCCTGTCAAGCGATCAACATGAGGAATTTCGGACCTTGTAAATATGCATCGCATGGGAAACTCTCTGGGGTGATGCTGACAGTGGCAAGGAAGCATTCCATGAGCTCTAACGACTGCTCAATCTTTGGCATGAATCTCTGAGAATAACATGATTCACTAAGCTTTCAGTGGACTCAATAAGGCATCAGGTTTGATGCTTATCTGTGAGAAAAAGAATGTCGAAATTGGAACCTTGAATTGGTTAGACCGTTGTAAGCATTTCTAAGTGGAGTAGCCTCTTGCCCTCTACTTAGCAACTAAGCCTGTGCGTTTTTAGCTTTTTAATCAGAAGCAAAAAAGAGAGGCTGTCGAAAATGCTCAATTTCGTCGACCTGACACTCCAGTTTGAGCGCTTAAACATTTGTGGAAAAAGAAACTCCAAGAAAACTAAGAGGAATTCAACAGAGCAAGGGATTTACTGCAAAACGGTATGAAACTCAGTGGCAAAGCTTTCCGTCTTCTCAGCTCTTCCGAGTGAGGGAAAAAACGTCATTTTTTATGGGCCAACAAAGTACTTTATCGCGTGTTCGGTAAACCGATCCAGGAGCAGTTCTCAGTTTCAGGATGAAGGCTGCTCTTTTCCTGCTCCTCATTGGTGTGACTGTGACAGTGTTGTGCCGTAAAAAGCACCACCACCATCATCCCGTATGTCACACGCCTCCACCAAAGCCGACATTCCTAAAAAATGTTGGTTGCAAAGCTCGCGCAGAGTATTACGACATCATGTTCAAATGGGACGAAAAAATCGGCAAAATTGAAGAAGAAATTGCTCAATGGGCAAAAAAGTATCAAGTTGTGGTAGGTGAAAAGGCTTCGGATTCATGGTATTGTTATCATTGTTATTACTAATTTATTTTTTGAATATTTTTGTTCTTGGAACCCTCCTACGACACAATTACAATTATTATCATTATTATTATTATTATTATTATTATTATTATTATTATTATTATTATTATTATTATTATTATTATTATTATTATTATTATTATTATTATTATTATTATTATTATTTATTTTATTATTATTATGACTGTTATTACTACAAGAATGCTGATTTATGGGTAAAAGTGAACCCCAGGCGAGAGTCGAATCCACACTTCACGCTTTCCCAGCGAGTGCGCGAACTGCGGCGTAAAGCAGCAGTTGTCATTATAAAGCAATTATTATTGTTATTATTATTATTACTATTATTATTATTACTATTATTATTATTATTATTATTATTATTATTATTATTATTATTATTATTATTATTATTATTATTATTATTTTATTATTATTATTATTATTATTATTATTATTATTATTATTATTGTTTGGGGGCCTTCGAGATTTGCTACATATTATTATTAATGGAAGATAAAGTGTTCCATCCTTTCTACTTTAGGAACAACTCGAGAAGTTCAACAATAGGACAGAGAAATTCCGAGAAGAATTGAAACACAATGTCACAACTCTTGTGGCCGAGCTCCCGAAAGCTGTTGAGAAATTTCTGAATATAACCCAGAACAAGAATGTGACGCGCAAGGAAATGACGAGGCAGCTCCGCGATATGGAAAAGGAAAATTTCGAGGTTAGTGTACGGTAGTTCACAACCTCAAAAAGGAATCTGCCTGAGATGAAATTATTCAGCTGTTTGGTGTGGTGAAGTCAGCTTTCCTGGCGTTCAAACCGCACCACTGTCCTCATCATCACGATTCTATCAGCTCCGAAGAAATTGTCGACAACTTCGTGGATGATTCCCAAGATGACGAAGGTCCTGAGGAAGATTTTGATCCTGTCAAAGAGCTGAAAATAATGAAAGGATCGAGCATTTTCGACATGTTTTAATGTTCTAAATGAAGTTTTTTTCCAAATGATATTCTACAAAGGCTTCCGCGTAGAGCATCATCCATCGAAGAGTTGAGTAGTTATCAATCACGTTAAAGTTTAAACTAAAAGGGAGGAAGTGGCGCGCTACTGCGGCCGCGGACTCGTTCCCTCATGCACAGCAAGGAACAGGAACTTTGGATGCGGGCTTACAGCTTGTCCTTAAGCCCATACTGACCTTATCGGTAGAGTCACGTCACGCCAGTCTTCGCTACCTTAAAGCAACAGGCGCACTAGAAAGACGCAATGGTTGCTCCACTCCCATCTTGAGATCACCGTTACTTTAATGTTTCTCCTAAGGCGCAGCTTTAATGTTTTTCCCAAGCCGCAGGTGTAGCTTAGATGCTTCATCAGAAGAGGATTAAGGAGGGTTAACGAAGCGTTCTCCAAAATACATATGAGATGTTTATAAGGTGTCAAATAACACGCGCGCTGAGGGTACCTGTACTTGGGAATTGTCAATGACATCTGTGTACATAAGCCTGAACAAGAAGTCTTATTTGGTTGAACAACGCCCTTCGTAAAGTTTTAAAAACATAGCACAGTTTTATATGCTCTTCCCAGGGCAGGGCACCGCTTGTGAAAAACACTACGGATGAATCGCAATTTGGCTTCTGTGGCGGTAGATGGTTTTATGCGCCCGAGAAAATCTTTTTGGTAGTCAATTTTCTCCAAGTCAGGTGCTCAGAGAAGGGAATATCGCAATGGGAGGGTCGTATATGGTCGACGGGGAGGGGATGTTCGCAAAAAGTTTTCGCCCTGTGAGGAGTCTGGAGACGGGGGGAACGTACAATCGATCGGATTGTACTATCCAAAATTTATACAAGGTGATGCTGTGTGTCGTGCGTGCAACGGTGGTTTACCAGTAATTAGGGATTTCCCCCACAAATGAAACACACGACAAAAAGACTTCATGTTCAATTCATGTTTAACTCAAAACAATTCAAAACAATCTAATGTGGAAATAATGGAGGAATAGAGATAAGATTTGACTTACGATGAGACGAGGCGAATGGTCTTAGAGCTCTGACCTTAAGGTAAAAGATGAATCCATGCTACGGTGCGCGACATGACTCCTGCCCGGAGCTCTCTACTCTGAAGCCGCGGGCTCCCGGGCATCCCTTTTATATAGCGTCCTTGCGCGGGAAGAGTATGTACGTTGATTTGAAATGAGTGCGACGGGATTTCGATCGATACCCGTTGTAATTGGAGCGCGATTTGTTGCATGCGCGTCCTTGTCGACCAGAGGAAGCTCGTGAGTCATCACGACACTGTGCGCTGTAATCCGAGCGTGACGTAAAGTTCAGCAACGAAAAAAGGCTAGCCTTTTCTAGCCTGCCCGATCTGAAGAACTCATAGTCTAGTGATTTTTTTTCCACATTACGCTTAAGAAAAAAGTCATCAAAGGTTGTGGAACTCAGAAAGGACCGTCGCTTAGAATAGCGCCCTGCTATTTGTCCCTCAATGCCAAATAACGGCACGGCAAACCTTCTCATTCAGCAAATGTCTTCAGTCATGGAGTGTACCCAACCAGTTATCTCGTCTTATGTGCGATTTCCCCTGCTACGAAAAAAAATCTCATTGATCAAAAGGGGATAAAGGTTATTCTCAGCAAACGCTAAAATCTTCCTCCAGTGGCTTAAAATCAGACACTCTCGTTGAAGGTTTCTCAGCTGCGCCAGGCCCTGTTATCATCCTTGGCGACTCTGTCGCACGAGATCGAGGGCAACAACGGTAAGGAAGATTCATTCCGTAAACTCGAGACTTACGAAATTACGGAGATGTAAGTAATGCCACTGCTAGCTGAGGTGAAAAGCTGAAGAAATCATCGATTAAAAGCGCTATCATACATCACAGGTCAATCTCGCTGTTTTATACAGACCTCTTGTTACCTTGCTTTGAAGACTCCTGACTGCCTTGTTTCGGGACTCCTGACTGCCTTGCTGTTCTGTGCTACTTTTCTTGTCCCTGCTGCTTCTCTTACTTTTCTTGTCTTCACTGCCTTGTTCCCTCCAGCTGCACTTTTCCCCTCACTGCCTTACTTACTTCTTCCTTCCTGCTCCTCTTCTTTTCCTTACAATCTTTACTGCCTTGTTTCTCCCCGTTGCTTTTCTTCTCCTTACTACCTTGCTTCTCTTGACTGCTCTGCCTTTCCGACGGTGGTTTGCTTTTCGATGACTTCTTGTGACTTTTTCCTTCTTTCCAGATTTCTTGCTAACTTCCTTCTTCGGTTCGGGTTCTTTGCTACCTTCCTTCTGCCATGGAAGCGACTTAGTGGACGAATCCTATAGCTTTTTGACTGCCGGTTCTGGCTTTTTGGCAACCGCTTCCATAGCAGACTCTGCAGCAGCAGGTGGTACAGCAGAAGGCGGTGCAGCAGGCTCATCTTTTTTGTCCTTGAAATATAGGCTGAAAAATACGTTCAGTGCTTTTTATTTAATAACTGTACAAACGAGAGGGCGTGTGCAGGGGCGCTAATTGGAGGTAGCAACTTCTACCTTTTGTTACCGGACTAGGTTGGCACGCCTTTTCGTTTATAGGGGCACCTACAGGATTACTATAGTCACAGTATCTCGCACTGACCGCCAATGAGCGACATTATTGTAGGACAAGTCCGCGATCACTGACATCTTATGATATCGCGACGTTTCCTGATGGTGAGACAGCACAGCTCGCACGATGGGGACACCTCAGAACGTGGTCCTATTTGGTTTAGGGGGGGTGACTACTCAAAAAAGTTCTTTCCCATGCCCACCCCCCCCACCGCTCCGTTTGACAGCAAAAAAAAACGGAAATTCCATGGAAGACTTTAAGAGGTTGGGGAAATACCACCAGGATGGCAAGATTGTTAATAGATTGTGAAGGGAGAAGCCGTAAGCAGAGATGGAATGGGGGGGGGTAGGGTCTTATTTTGCAGAAGTTTCGCCAGTGAGAATATGCTTCGCTCAAGAAGACATTGGCAAGGATACCGTACAATTTTCCTCGTTATTAGAATGTTATGTGGAAGGCAAGCCTAAACTTTTAACGGACCTGGGCTGAAGCCGAGCCACAATTTTTTATAGTACTGTAGGATCAGGAGGCAAACCTTTCCCATCATCATGTCCAACTCCTTATTAATTTGCATTGCATTTTGAACATATTGGCATAATGCTAGAATAGTAACTTCTCGGTGATTTTTTATAAATAATCGGGAAGGAGCATGGAGAACGGTTCACCTCATCGCGTTTCATCATAAATTCGATCTTCTCAGCAAGGGCTTTATGAACACAACCAACGGCTGTTCCATCTGGCAAAAAGGTTACCAAAGGGGTGGAGGATTGGGCTGGAAGGCATTAGATTCTGAATAAAATTTACAGTACAGAACTGCAAAGATGTTGCATCCCTGTGGAGTAAGCCTGTTGATCTACATATAGGAAACGGAAGAAAGGGCGCTTGCCACGGCGAGAACGCGCTGCTTGCTGAGTGAAGCAGCAGCGGTGTGGCGGCCAAACGTATAAAGTTGGAGCGGTCCGCTTTCGCAGTACCACAAGCCTATTTTCTCCTTAGAAATACAGTGTTATTAAATATGCCTCACAGCTTTTTGTCGTGTCCCAGAGCTGTCATCTGCCAATGGATCATGCCCTGCTCACATGTCCCAGTGTTCGGGCGACTGCCAGCGAATTGATCGCTTTTGTTAAGAAGGGCCGTGGATAGTATGCCTACCGCTGTGCCCTGGCTGTTACGTTCACATGGCCGCGTCGCAGTTGCCACGATGCATAGGGAGCGTAGGAACAAGGGGCCCTTGGGGAAGATAGTATACGGTCTCAGGCTTGGTAGCGTGAACCACCTTGAACAGCAACGACGACTGCAAATTCTTTTATCAGCCCCTATCAGTAGTTATCGCTTCCAGTCACCCATGTGTTCTCATCTCACCCTCTATATCACTTGCTGAAACGCATGCCTCGCTGATGCTGTGACCTGCGCTATGAATACGATGACCTCACCTTTCTAATGCCCTTTATCGAACCTTATCAGAAGCTTGCAGTTTATTTATTTATTTTACTTACTTATGCACACACAGGTGCGCTTCTACAACACTTAAAGGCACATTCCGCGATAAAATAAGGCTATGACCTCTCAAATGTGTCGGACGATCCGGAAGGCGATTTTTGAGGCTGCGCTACTTTCAAAATGTGAAAAACGGCAAGAACTCCGCTAGAAGCTGACTAATTAGGCCCATGCACCCCTCACCGGCTGCTAGCTACTAGCTAGTAGCCACTATGTTATCTTTCTCTATAACATTTCGGACTGCTTTTTCTGCTGCTTTTCTCCGCTAATCAGATACTTAGCACTTTTTTGTGCCTATTTGAGTCGTTTCCCGCAATTTGCGGTCGCTAACTGTGCCTTTAAGTTATACTCAATCAAATAAATAATCAAATAACAACTACGATCTTACTTAACGCTAAACTGAAGGAACAGGCAATCGTCAGGATAGCTAGGAGACTCTCCAGTCGGAATTTCGCTAGAAGAATAAAAGAAATCAGCGAATGAGCCAGCTCTTGAATACCTGCTGGGGACCTCTGCCTTGGGTAACTAACCATTGACTCGATGATAATAATTTCAGCGGCGGACAACGCTAGGGAAAACGTAACTCCTCGACGAGAACCAAGCATGGGATCGGGAACTGAATTTCCGAATGTTAGCTGTTTCCTACCCCTGACAATTCACTTTCCGACCCGCCAACAATGACTTCCTCTCAAGCTAGCTTCTATGGCTGATAGCGACCCCAGGTGTACGCACTCAGGTTAAAAGGCAACATTACCGACTGAGGATTTCCACCCCTAATGCAGGCTTAGTTTAGGTAAGATGTAGTATAAATGTGGTGTTAAAACAAAAAAAAAAAACAAAAAAAAAGAAACGAAAACATAGGTATAAGACACAAACATAGAAGCTTGGAGCACAAACAATAAAATAAAAGAAAC